AGAGAGAGAGAGAGAGAGAGGCATCAAGGTACGCGCAGGGAGAGGAAGGTTGGTGCAGGTGCGTACCTTGGTGCTCCACGATCTTGCCGCGGATGTAGCGCACCTTGAAGGTGCCCAGGTGCGGAGGCTTCAGCAAGCCCACCCCATGCCTACCCCAACGCCCACCATCGGCCATTGCGTCCGTTGACGCACCCCGCCCCCAGCCAGCCCACGATCACACGGGTGAGTGTACGGAAAGAGGGCTCTCTTGCCGGAGTGGAGGGAATTGGGGACCCCCCCCCGCCCCCCAATGTTTGAACTACAACGACTATGATGGCAATATTACGGTAGGAAAGGGGCGGTACCGCTGGTCGTCCTTGAACTGGCCCACGTAGCTGGTACCATCCGGGGTGGTGTAGCACCCGACCCCTACGTGCCACGTCGCACGCACACACGCACGTACGTGCACGCCACAACACGGCAACACGACCAACGTCCCGACAACACCACAACACGACAACGCGTCGGTAGAGGATCCAGAAAAGAGGATGCCGGGTCCAAGAAACACGACGATGGCCACTCCGTGAGGCGGCGGCCCGCATTGCTGGGGGGGAGGGAGGAGGGCACCATCAAAGTTGTTGTTGGCGAACTGTCCAACGTAGCGCGCTCCGTCACTGAACAGGTAGGTCCCTGCACGCACGCACGCACGCACATCAACACCGTCGTCAGTTGCAGCCGGCCCGGGTGCGCGAAGAAGACCGAAGGTGTCGCCGCGTTAACAAGTGACGAGGCGGGCGGGGGTGGATCGTTCCGTACCTTCGCCGTGCATCTTGTCGTCGACGTACTCCCCGATGTACCTACTCCCCGCCAGTTACCACCACCGCGGCGGAGGTCACGCGAAGGACCGGAAGCACGCAGCTCAGCACCAAGCAAGCAGCGAGAGAGGGAGGCGCCGGGTGAGAGGGGGACGTGGCGTACTTGGTGTTGTCCGCTGACGAAAGGAAACACACACACACGACACAGAGAGAGAGAGAGGGAGGGCCGAAGTGAATGGGAGCACGCAAAGACTGCCAATCGCCAGCCAGCCAGCTACGATGCCACCACATGGCGCCGCATGGGGAGGGGGCGTACATCCAGATGTGTACTCGCCAAAGCCCATTTTCTTGTCCTCCTGAAACTGGCCCTGTGGCACGACTCACGATACACGTCGTGTCGTCCCGTTGCACAGCCCCCCCCCATACAAAACAGATCCGTCGTCGATCAGACCACATCACCGCCAATCACCAGCCACCACCGCCAGCCACATGTGACCAATGCAAGGCAGACCAGGCCGGGCCAGCGCAGATGCAGGGCAAGCAAAGGGCGGGTCGGCGTACCTCGTACAAGGTCCCGTTGGCCCACAGGAAGCGGCCCTGCCCGTGCTTGCGGCCATTCTTCCACTGCCCCGTGTAGGTGGCCCCGCTGGGCCACGTATAAGTTCCCTTGCCCTCGAACCGGCCATCCAGCCACTCCCCTGCACGGAGGAGTAACCACACATGACACGACACACACACGACACACACGACACACGGGCATATGTGTAGCGTGTGAGGACTGGGTCTCTCGCGGCGGCATTGAACGCGCAAACGTCCACACGTCCCATGCGCATGCGCCGCGGGGCGCGTAGGGTACCCTGGTAGCGCGAGCCGGAGGTCCACACGTAGGTGCCCACGCCTGTCTGCTTGCCGTGACGCCAATCACCCTCGTAGGTGCCATCCTTGAAGACCATGGCCCCGCGCCCGTGCCGCCGGCCTTTCCCGTCGAGGCTGCCGATGTACCACGAGCCATTCGCGTACACCTTCTTCCGCTGCTGCCCCTCCCCCTGCGCAGCTGTGTTTCACCCCTCGCGCCACACCACCACACCATCACACAAGCGCGACGCGCGCGCACGTTAAGAACCCCCCCCCAGCACGCAAAGCCCAAAATAAAACAAAACAAAACAAAAAACGGCCAAGAAGGGAGATACAGGAGATGCTCGCACGCCTCATCTCTCGTGGTGCTGTCGTGTTCCCTGCTCGTGGGTGTTCTCCTCGCCCCTTTGCACGCGCCAACCAACCAACTGCACCAAGGCCAATAATCTGTTTTTGGTACCTCACGTGATTTCCTTCTGGAACAGTTTTTTCTTTTCTTTTCTCGTTTTGCTGACAGCACACGACGGTGCACAGCAGCGGCTGGCCGGGGGCGGGCATGTTTTGTTATTGTTGTTGTTGTTGTGTTGGGGCAGAGTTCATTCAGGTTGAGGGGAGAGGGGCTGGGGGAGGAGGACAGCCACTAACTACAAACTAGTTCGTTAGTAGTTGTAGCGGGAGAAGTCCAGGCGGGGGGCCTTGCTGGCCGCCGCCCCGGTTGTGTGGCGTGTCCCCGGCTGGCGGGCAGCGGAGGAGAGCGCAGCCGAGCGCACGGCCGAGTGGAGCCGGAGGGCCGGAGCCGGGGGCAGGCACCCCACGGCCTGCTTGAAGGCGGCAGGGTGGGCGGCGCCCACTTGCGTGAGCACCTCCAGTGCACGCCCGGCCCCCATCCCGCCGCCGCCGCCGGTGTCCTGCTCCTCGCGCAGCTGGGCCACAAGACCCGCCACCAGCAGGCCCATGACACCCTCGCCTGCCACACACCAACGGGTACGCACGCACGGCCACGTGTCAGAAAAAGAGAGAGAAAAGGACCTCCGCCCGCGGGTGAGGTAGAGATGGGTGGCTGGTGGCTGGTGGTGCCGTGGTGGTGGTCGTGGTGGTGGCTGGTGCCGTGGTGGTGGTCGTGGTGGTGGGCGTGGTGTACCCTGCTCGCGCGGGCACAAGGCCCAGAGGGCGAGGAGGAGCCGGGTGGCCTGCAGGCACAGCGAGGTGGCCTTGTCGCCGCCCGCCTGTGGCGCGTCGGCCTCCATGGCGGCGGCGACCACGACGCCCTGCGGAAGGCGGTGCAGGAGGAGGCCCGCGTGGGGCGCCGCCGTACGCAGGTAGTAGAGCGGCAACGACGACGCTCGGCTCTCGCCCGCCTGCACCGAGGATACGATGAATGGATGGATGGGTGGATGGGTGGAGGAGGGTTGGGTGTTGGTGTTGGGTGTTGGGTGTTGGGTGTTGGGTGTTGGGTGTTGGGTGTTGGGTGTTGGGTGTTGGGTGTTGGGGGGGGAGTGGGAGT